TTACATCAAACTAAAAAGCTTCTGCATAGCAAAGCAAACAAATCAACAGAGTGAAATAACAACTTACTGAATGGTAGAAAATATTTGCAAACTACACATCTTATAAGGAGAATATCCAGTTTCTATGAGGAACACAAATGTCTCAATAACAAAATAATAATAACAATAATCCAGTTAAAAATATGGGTAAAAGATCTGAACAGACATTTCTCAAAAGAAGAAATACAAACAGCCAACAAATAAATGCAACGAAACAAAAAATGCTCGACATTACTAATTGTCATGGAAATGCAAATTAAATCCACAATGAAACATTATCTCATCCAAGTTAAAATGGTATTATCAAAAAGACAAAAAATAAAACATGCTGATAAGAATGTGAGAAAAGGGAAACTCATGTTCTGTTGGTGGGAATATGAGTTAGTATAGGGTTTGTGGAAAACATGGAGGTTCCTCGAAAGAATTAAAAGTAGAACTACCATATGAGCCAATGATCCCATTACCAGGTATATGTCCAAAGAAAATGAAATCAGTACATCAAAGAGATCTACACTCCCATGTTATTGCAGCGTTATTCACAGCAGCCAGGATAAGAAACAACCCAGGAGGCTGTCAATAGATGAATGGATAAAGAAAATGTGGTATATTAATACAATGAAAAACAATCCAGCCATAAAAAAAGAATAACATTCTGTCATTTATGGCAACATGGATGAACCTTGAGGATGTTATATTAAGCAAAATAAGCCAGACCCCTCCCCCAGAAAAAGTTGATCTGATACAAGTAGAGAGTGCAATAGTGGTTGGGAAGGGCTGTGGAAAAGGGGATGGTCATTAGGTACAAAGTTACAGTTAGATAGGAGAAATAAGTTAGAATATTCCATTGCATGTAGGATGGCTGTAGTTAAAAATAATATTTTGTGTATTTCAAAATAGCTAGAAAAGATTTTGAAGATCTCGTTGCTAAAAAATGGTTGATGTTTGGGGTTTTAGTATGCTAAGAACTCTAATTTAATCATTACACATTGTACACATGTTTCAACACATCACATTGTACTCCACAAGTCAAGTAAAATTTAAAAAATCACCTTTCCACTGTCTCGGAGCCTTTGGAGGCCTACTGAGAATAGAACTTCTAAAAGGCAACTATGTCTGGAAGGCTGTGGTGCAAGGCCATTTTTCCTGGTTATAAGTGGGTGGGGTCTCAGGAACCAAGGGGAGCACACAGCTCTTCTTAAAACAGGAGGTGTTTATGTATGAGATGAAATGGAATTCTATTTAGGCAAGAGGTGTGCTTATATGTACAAAGCAAAAAATACACAGTGACTTCTGATGGCAAATCAAATAAAAGCAGAGTAATCTGGGGAAAGATTACTTGTGCTCATGGAAACAGTGACATGGTTCGAGCCAAATTTCAAAATAACCTTCCTGCTAAGGCTATTAAACACAGAATCCATGTGATGTTGTATCCCTCAAGGATTTAAAGTAATGAAAAGTAAATGAATAAAAATGAAAAAAATTTTTAAAAATACCAAAGCATGTGAAATAATCATAATAAATAGAATAGTTGTAATAGTAGTTGTAGAAGTAGCTGCTGCTTTATGAACTCCAGCCATCCATGTGGTACTGTGCTTTATAGGCTTACAGATTAACAGAACCATAATTACTATTTTGCAGACAATGAAAGTAAACCTTAGAAAATATACATAACTTGCTTAAGCTTGCACAGCTTGTTCATAGAAAAACAGAATGTCAGCTTAAATCTCTTTGACTCTCAAATCGCCTATTTAAACCAACACTGAAATACCTCCTACTTGTTTCAGTCAGCTCCTTCTTTTATTTTAATCTTTTATTTCTCCAAAGTCAGCTGTAATTTCTCTTTGCAACAATAATTAGAGTCAGTATCATCATTGCTTTCATCAACTATCATTGACTTTTAAAAAACCCTTTCTTAAAAGTCCCTTTGCTCTTAAAAATCATGCTCTAAGAAAGGGAATTTTTCTAAAATAAAAATGAAGTTTTCAGAACTGTTGTAGTTCTTTGAATCAATACCACAAATCCCATAGACAATTTGCTTCCATGACCTTACTTTAACTTCTATATGTAACATTAAAATTATGGCTTCTTCTAATTTTAAAAATGTATTGTTCATCTATCTCTTAAGCTCCTTGAAATAATGACTTTTGCTTTGTCTTTCCTACTCTTTTGCAAAATATTATGAAGGACTTTCACTCATTACCATTAAAGTACTCTGTCCAATGTCACTGATTCTGTTTGTATAGCATTTAACAAGGTGAGCGCACTCTCAATTGTTTGAAATGTCTTTTCCCATTTTTTTTTTTTCAGGATGCCCTGTTTTTTGTTCCTAATTTTTTCAGCTAACTATATCAACTTTCTTTCTTAGACTCCTTAATGTTTGTGTCCTTTTTTCAACCTGTTAAAAGCTAGAAAATCCCTAACATGTTCTGTTTGATTCTTTCTCTCATGTTGTCTCTTTTTTTCTCAGCATGCATGCTTCCTTTAGTGTCCTCATTTATGCACACATCTTCAAGTGATTAATTACTAAAGAACCCACTTAGTTCATTAGGTGATTCCCTGCTCTATATACATATTAAACTCAAGTAAACCCCTATCAGAGGATTGTTCTGTTAAAAAAGACAAAAAAAGTCTCCAAACCCCCCTGACTTTAACAGGAGCTCAGTATCGTTAATGATAATTCCTTATTCATAGCAATTTAACCTTGAGTTTGCTAATTCATAAGTGTTTAATTAATGCCAACTTAGAGAAATCCATGTATGTCTTATTTTATTTTCTCTGTAATCTCTAACTGTGGGTATTTAATAGCTTAATAATACATTTATTTAATGCTTAAGCACTTGTAGTCCTCACCTTCAGCCCTGAAACAAAAAAATTGTTAGAATAGCCACGTCAAAATACTATTTGTCTTGTTCCTGAGTCCTTCACATCTCAAGACCCTCTATTCTGATGACAGTGTCACCACTTCCATATACCTGCTGCCCTTCAGGGCCACCAGCATCTTCACAGCCGTTACTTCTTTGTGGATTCCTTTGGGTCCACATTCTGCAAATCAGATTTCATTTCCACCTGATCTCATTCCCATAAAGCTATGCTGTCAAGTATTTTACCCCCAGGAATTAATTTCTGATATTAACAGAAGTGATATTTAACTTCCCTGGGAATCTGTCTTACTATAAGGGATTCTAAAAGCCAAGAGGTCTGCTAAGCCTCTGCCTCGGTGTTTTATAATCTGCCTTCCTCTTTCCTAGTGTTTAATCTTCTCCTGAAGCTTACTGTACCAGGTAATACATCAAGCACAATAAAAGAATAGAGATAAATAAAACGTTCTGTTTTTTTTTTTTTTTGTTGGTGAAATTTTCCCTGGTGGTCTTTGCTCCT